GCTAACTTCCCGCGTTTTCTTCGTTACAGACTTCAAAAGACAGCTGAGGCCTTAGCAATTCATGACTTTAAGCCAGAGCTTTGTGTACAATAAAAGTATGTACAATCCCTACTTCTGCCTTGGCCGTAGAGGAATAGATATTTATTTATTTTGTTTATTTAGTTATTCTATGTACTTTTCCTTTAATACTACGATTATTATTATTATTACTATTCTCACTCTGAGTCTTTTCCACTTGACCCACTTGTCATTTTAAACCCAAAATTATTAATTTGAATATTTTTATTTTTACAATATTGAATTCTATCTTATCAAATTTCACACCATGTTATGTAACATTTTATATTCGTCTACTAATCTTATAATTATGTACCCCTTTCCAAAATCTATACACCTTACGTATTATTCTATGTATGACGTTAATTATTTTGCCACTTGACATTGAACTATGATTATAATCACAAATATTTTAATCGTATTTCATACTACTACTATTATTATTTCATGTATTCACATCTTTGACCTAATTCCCTCACCGGATATTATTTCTTAAAAACCATTCATATACACGATTGTACAGCTTGATAATAAATTCGTTGTTGAAAAGAGTCTCTTCGTTGAATATTGTGTTCTTAATAAATAATTAGACTCAATTATGGGGTGTAGTTTAGATTTCATGTCCAGGCGGAATCATCTTTCAAAAGGAGACTACATCATACTAATATGAATCAAGTGAACATTTTTTTTTAGTTTTGCTTTCATCAGAAGGTCCAGGTGGACGACAGTAACTTTGAAACTCAGTTTTAACACCACTGTCAAGTCAGTCAGAAACCTTGAATGCGTCATAAAAACGCTTCCAACGGGCAGTGGACTTTCATCAGCAGCTGCCTTCGCTGCTCCATACCGAAGATCGTATTCCTTACCACAAAGAATGGGTAACGTGAAACCCTAGGAACACACCAATCAAGGAACCTCTTACTTAAGTAATTTACCGAATAAATTAAAAATGGATCAAATAGACAATAAACAGACCAAGTGCTAGTCTATCGCTCAAGTGGAACCTGAATCAGAAAGGTTGAGTTAGGCTTTGTTCAAAAGGCGACATGGTCGAGACTGTGTGATGTGGAAGATGATTGCTTATGGGCAAAGAAGGACTTCAGAGAACAGAATGAAGTTTAGATGTGCTGTTGAAGCCAATAATAACTATGGATTGAAAGTAAAGACATTTTGAGAGAGGCTAAATGGAGAATAGGAATAAGTTAATTTATTTTGAAATCATTTAGCTGGACCTGTGAGTAACATTAACTTTTTTCCTCCAGGCATAGTGTCCTTATTTTTAAAGGAAAGATCAAAAAGGCGAGAAAATTTTGCAATGGTCTACCGCACTAGACATTATGAATAAAACCCAAGCATTCAACGTTGTAACATCGCCTAGATTATTAGCTCGCTAGTTTTCTAGCCGGTCCCAAGTCCGGATAAAGAGGGAGGTTTGGGGCGTGATGCTAGCAACTCTAACCCTCCTTAAACTTAACCAAATTCCTACAGAAAATTCAACGCATAAATATAATAAAAATATAAACAGTAAGCTTATTTTTCGCTGGAATCGGGAAGTGAAATGACGCATGCTGGCGAAAGCTTTTGGGAAGGAAGCCAGCCGATGTGCCTTCTTTCGATGAAAGCGAAAGTAAGGATGGGAACGTGGAATGTTCGTGCAATGTACGAAGGTGAAAAAGCTGCCCAGGTAGCCGCAGTAATGAGAAGAATGTTTCCAACAGGCTAACTCAGACCTTTATCAACAACTGTGAAAGATCAGATGGCCGGGCCGGAAAGAATCACCAACAAGAAACTATGGGAACAAAGAAACAAAACAAGAACCAATCGCCCAACACAAATATGCAGAAGAAAGTGGAGATGGATTGAACACTCACTTGCTGAGGAGGCCGCTGGGTGACATCTCACGCGCGTCAGGCCATTGCTAGAGTGGAAATTGAAAGAGAAGCGGAAAGTGGGCCGTCCAAGTGTGACATGGAGGCGATCGTGTGAAGAAGAGTTGAGACAGTATGGACTGACATGGATGCAGGTGAAAAGTACGGCAGAAAACAGAAGGAAGTGAAGACGTTCAGTTGAAGCCCTGTGTTCCACTAGGAACCCAAGGGAACAATAATAATAATAATTCAAAATTGTGTGTCAAGCCAGTTCGTCAACAGGGTTAAGACACTTAGCGTGTCATCAGAATCCTTCCTAGACGTCTATCGAAGACCTTCATCAACTACTGCCTTCACTCTGCTTTCACTTAAGTTGATCAGAAAATGTTTAGTTATTGGGAACTTTCTCAACGAACCAAGAAGACCACTTACAGACAACAAATATGTACAATGAAATGAAGATGGATTGTACACATCCTGAAAGAGCCGTTGAGTGACATTGCATGCCATGCAGGTCTTCTTCTAGTGGAGCTCGAATAGAGAGTGAAGAGTTGGGAACTGGGTAGGTTATAGGTGTGACATAGAGGAGATCATGCAACGAGGATGAAATAAAGGATTATTGGCACTCGTTTAGTCAGCAAACAAAGAACTGTAGAAAATAGAATCAGATAAACCCTGCGCTCCACTCAAAATTGCAAGGGTATATTAAGATAAAAATGGCTTTTACATTATTGAGAGATATATCTAGTCTTTTTAAACACTTAGGCAAAGAACAGCCAAAAACCATGCTTGGTTTGCAGGGATCTGATTGGTCACCATGTCAATCATGTGTTGACATTAGTTATATTTGAAGAAAAGGAATTTCGTCATGGTGACTGTTGCTCAGCGTGTAGAGATGTCTCGCTTAATCTATACACAACATTCATTGTAGGTGAGGTATAACAACTGACAGTCCTAAAATAGGTACATTATTTATCTACATTGTGTTACGTCCGTCCTTTTCTGACACTGTGTGTGGACTAACTTGATGTCATCCAAACTTGAAGACTTACAGGCAGGCAGGCAGGCGAAAACCAACAAATTGGCAGAAGAAGTTGCCAGTGAAGACAGGACTCAAGATGAATGTAGAGGTGATGAAGATAACCAACCATTACCGATGGCAACAGCAACACAACAACAACCAGCACCAATCATAATCAGCTGGAGAGATTTGACAGAGATGACTCTTCTTTCACTTATCTGGCCAGGAAGCAGGCTCTCAACCGCAGGTACACGACACGGATCAAGATTTCAATGCGAGCCAGCCAGTTAGAATTGGTAGGGCAAGCAAGATACGCCTTCATCAAACTAAAACCAATATGGAAATCTTCCCTTTCTCACTCAGTCAGAGTAGAGAACATGATTCCGATTCTTTCAACACAAATGTGAATTTAGTCAGTCAGTCAGTCAGTCAGTCTTTTCTTCTATACGAGTCAGAAAGTTGGATTTCCAACAAGTCACTTCAGACTTTTATAAACAGCTACCATCTTCGCGAGTTACCTACTGCAGACTGAATGGTCAGCTGGCTGGCCAGAATAAATTAGCAACAAGAAAGTCTTCAGGGGAACAAATCCCTCGAGAGTCAACTGTTCGACATATATGTAGGAGAAAATGGAGGATTGGTCGGAATACGTTGAGGAGACCGTCAAATGAAATCGTTTGCAGTGCATGCCATAGCCTGAGTGGAATCACAATAAGAAGCGACGGGTTTGTCATCACATCGAGGATGATACGGGGAGATCCTGTTGGGAGGAGGAGGAGATGGAAGATTATGGGCAATGGCGGAACCAGTCAGATGAAGAGGACAGCAAAGGGTAGATCGAAGTGGAGATGTGTTGTTGAAGCCCTATGTTCTACTCCAAACCTAAGGGAATAATAATAATAATATTAATGAACCCCTTCAAGCGCAAGGAAAGCTAGGTAGGAAAAAAGTGCTCCATAAATGTGCCTTTTCATTCCATGAACTGGCTTGATGCTGCCGTAGGTTATGACTACTAGCCCCTAACGTCCAACCACCCCCCCGGCTGATTGAATCCACTATCGGTTGTTAAACTAGGCGTGGTATAAAGGATACGTCGGCTAGGAATTAGACAAACACCACAACCATAGGTTGACCACAGAAATTAAAGGTCTCTGATTTCCTAAATAAGTGGCGTTGAAGAGCATATTTGAAAGTACATAAATGACTAGAAAAAATAATTTCATGAGACATAATTTTGCAACATGAATAATGAAAAAACAGCATGATTAAGCAAACAAATGTTCACGTAGACATAGTAGTCGATAAAGGCTATTAAAA